ATAAAGAAAGCCTAACTCTAGTGAAAAATTTTTCTATGTTAACAGAAGTTTGGTTTGTTAAAATTCCTTAATGTTTTACATTTTAAAAACTGTTTTTGAAGAAATATTCTAATTGTTTGCACTGTTACTGTTCTTTGCCAGCCTTTTCAGGAGCCAAAATATACAAATACAAACAAACAAAAAAATGCCCAGAGAAAAAACTTTCCTTCTTCCCCCTTCCTGATGATGAGTGAGAAGTTATGAGAACTTTGGGGTCTGTGCCCTTCTAAACTCCCCTTCCCCCAATAATGCAGCTGTGTAATGAATGCTAAATGCAGCGGCTTGGACCGGCACAGCCCAGCCTGCTTGCAGGTAATTTGACTCCTTTCTTCCCATCCAAGACTAACTGTTTACCTTTTTTATTTATTTATTTTATTTTAAGTTTCCTTTCTTTAAGCACTTTAAAGGCAACCATGGGTTTATCATACCTTTTATTTAAAAAAAAAAAAAACAGATAATGCATAAATGTAGCTAGGAAGTAATTTATTTAAAGAGATTTTGGGGGTAAAGTTTGAATTGATTGGGATGAACCCAGGACTTCGGGGGTTTTGTTTAGATAACTCCATTCCTTGCATATATGTTTTTCAGAGTGTGACTTTTTGGCTTTGTTTTTGCTTTGGGTTTGTTTGTTTCTTCCATTGTGCTACTCTGGCTTAAGCTTTTTCAGGGGTTGGTGTTCCGAATACACAGTGAGCTCACAGTTTAAAGACATCAATTAGGAGTTGACAGGTATGGAAAACTAGAGTTGTGTAAAGGTAAAATTAGGTTCTAGGTTATATGTGTGGTTTTTAAAAAAATGCACTGTAGTATTGAGTTAACCTAGTGTTTCTCTTTTTGTCACATCATTTTAGTTATCTTAGGAGCAGAGTAATAGCAGAAGTAATCCGTGTAGCATTTCTGACACATCAGTTCTAACAAAGAAATCAAAATGAACAGTTTGAGATTATAATTTTTTAAAAGCATACAAATTTTGTAGACTTGAACAGACAGGGAATGTTTCTGAAGCACAGCCTGGTTAAGTTGCTTAGCCAGCGTCGTGAAACAGTGAGCCACTGAATAGGATTGCAGCCTGGCCAGTGTGATAGTCTGCCAGTAGGCCATCCATTTTACTCCACATACTCTTTCCTTCTCTTTCATGTCCTTTCTAAGGTTTTAGCTCTGAGAGTTAGCCCTTCTGTATTTTATATTTGGGGCACTAATCTCTTTCTAGTAAGCAGAATTTCAGAGACAGTTGCCAGGACCTTTTCTATATATGTTTTTCCATACCTTTATCCTGTAGTTTATAATGTTGTACCCAAAGAGGTTATATATACATCTAACAAATCACTAATTAGTGAAGAAGAAATCTTGGTCCTAAGTGCTCTTTCTACAGCCCAAGAAGAGGCATGTAGTAAATCACTGTTAGGCTAATCTGTGTTTCAGTTGGCTCATGAGCTAGGGACAGTCATTCTCCTAAGCATCTTAAGATAATTACCTGTTGGACTGTACTAAAATTTACTTGTACAGAAATCTCAACTCCTGCAGGAATTTATGAGGTTCTAAAAAAGACTTCAAGAGAATCTTGTTCTCTTGCTGATGAGAATGGCTACCATTTGGGTGTTTGGACTGCATAGGGTGTGGAGAGTTTTAACAGCCTCCATCTGGTGCCCCCCCCCCCATTAAATACTGCTGATTTGTAAGGAGTCTTGTTTATAGATCTTACCGTACTCAAATTTGTTAGATGACCTTATATAGTATATATACCTGGCTGCCATTTGGGGTTTTGGGAACATGAGGGGTGGGGTGAACTGTTGTTGTTTTAGGTTTCAGTCAGACAGACATCCCTGTGCCTCAGTTCCCAGAAGCACAGCAGGCCTCTAGGAGCATCCGTGGGAACGGCGCAGTCCTGACATCACCAACTTCTCCTGCTCAGGCTCATCCCATATACAGAGGTCAAAAGGGTGGGGCTTGAGATGGGGGAAGGAATGAGAAAGTTCACAATGGCATTGCAGTGCTGCTGTTGGTTAGCTTTTGGTGCTTATGTCAGTGTTTGTTTTATTTCTTGTTTGTTTGTTTTTTTTTAAGTTGGCAAATTGTACATAATATTTAATTTGGGGTGAAGGTGGTGGGTGGGTGGAAAGAAATAAAACTCTATTTTTACTAGTTTGTTACTGGTTAGAGTTCCTCATGTTTAATATCAAATACATTGCAGATGTAGGTCCCAATGACAAAGAGTGGGAATAGACAAGAATCTTAGATTCTGAAAAGCAGAGAATATTTGTGCTGTTGTTAATCCCCGAATCTCAAACATAATTTGTCTGCACCCATGCCCTGTTTTTCTATTTATGTATATAGTGTAAGGAAATGTAAATTCATGGTTAGTCCTTTCTAAGGGACTTAATATTAACTCTTGCAAAAAACAATTCCCAATGCTTATATGGGCATACAAATGCTACCCTATTTTAAATGTAGGTGGCGTATGTGTTCGTGCTTTAATGTATTCAGAGCAATAAGCAGTCCCAGAACATTGAAAACTCAAGCAGGTAAAGCACCTAACACCCTTAGTTTTTAGAATTACTTTAAAAAACTTGTGTTGATGTATTTTGCACAGTTTTTTGGGTAGTCTGGATTTGAAATTTTCAGGAGTTGTAGACTACCTAGTTAGAATTGTAAATTATGTATTTATAGATTATAGGGATGAAAATAGTGGTTCCTTGAGATAGCATTTGCTGATTGTCTAAGTCTTTCCACCTTCATTCTATTTTTAATTCTCCTAGCTTAGCATGAACACTGATCATACATTGTTTGATTTTCTGTGTTTGGGTTTTTTCCTGATTATTAAGGAGGGACGATCTAGGAGAGATAGGAAACTGTTGGTGCATATGTTAAAATATGAAGTTACCTTTCTGTTTAATTTGAATACTGAGCAGGAACCTTTTCTATATGCCCTTCTGCTGCAGCAGAGACATAAACTGGTAGGTGGCAGCAGAGAAAGGAATCTTCAGTTGACGGCTCCCGGCATAAAATCTGCACAGGAGAACTAGCATGTAACATACCAAGTGAAGCAAGAAGGGCAAACATGAACCTTGGGACTGGATGGCTTTCTATGAATGGTAAGTATTCCCAACCAAAAGTGTTTTCAGCCTGATACCAATGTTATGTAAATGACACTTCAGTGCACTATGTATGTAGCCATTATTTCTCTAGTTCTGTTTTAAGGTTGAATCTGATCTGACCAGTGTATTATCACCCTTTACTTCAAAAAGTAACTTGCACTATGCAAGTTTCTTCTTTTAAACACCCAGCCATTGACATATACAACCTTTAGTGATGAATGCATAAAAATTAGATTTTTCTAAATTGTACATTAGTGCCCACTTGATGAAATTAAGACTGCCCCCTTCTAGGAGGCGTGCTGGAGGGTTAGTTAGAATGTAGTTTGAAAAAAAATTACAAGAGCAATAAGATCTGTTCTTTTGTTGGCTGTCTCTTTTCTGGTCTAAGCAGGTTTCCTTGGTACTGTGCATGCCCATCAGTTCTTATCCTTGCTCACATGTCCCTGTGTTGAATCTACTTTTTTGCCCTTCCCACCTCCCTTTATATTTATTTTCTCTACCTCTTTCCTTTCCTGTCTTCCACTCCCTCGCAATTCCCTCCTCCTGCCCTCTTCAAGGTTTTTTTTTTTTACTTAACCCATTGTTGCCTACTTTTTGTTGTTGTCATTGTTTATTTGGGGCTTTTATTGTTGTTCAAGACAGGGTCTCACTATATAACCCTGGATGGCCTGGAACTCGGAGATCTGCTTGCCTCTGCCTCCAGAGTGTTGATTTAAAAGGAGTGTACTACCACACCAAGCTTTCCTCTTTTTTCCTAAGGTTTAAAGCAAAAGTGTATGCCTTCTTCCCTGCCCCTCCCTTCTATTCGAATTCTCTCTGTCCAAAACTGCCTGGACATAAACATTGCTTTTTCTTTTTTGGTCTTTTTGGGGCAGGGCCTCCCTGTATCCCCAGCTGACCTAGTCTACATAGGTTATTTTGGGATAAGAGAATGAGTCCAGACCAACCTGAGTTTGATTTTTCCAAAGCCCTTGGTGGAAGAGAGCCGAACCCACCTGGGAGTTGTTCATTGATTTATACACATACACTCAGTAATAATAAGTTTTAACAAAAAAGTCTTGGCTAAAATCACAGAGCCATGACCAAAGTCCAGCTTTCCTACTTTTCAGTGCTGTGTTCCTGACATTACACCATTCTTGCTTCAAAATGTGCTGCTCTTGCTGGTCATGGTGGCACACACCTTTAATCCCAGCACTTGGGAGACACAGGCAGGCAGATCTCTTGAGACTTGGTCTACATAGAGATTTCCAGCCCAGCTGAGGCTTCAAAAATCAGGAAAACAAAACAAAATGTCTCATTACTGGACATATACTCTGCAGTGTGAGCTATGGTAATGTAGGTATAGGCAGTTTTCTCAGAAAGCTTGTTTAGGTTAGCTATAAGTGACCACTTTAGACAGTTTGCATATATCATTGCTTTCATATTTTGCCTGTACTTATACTTCTAACTTACTTTAAACATTACTTTGAGTATACCCATTGGATATTGAAAAGATAACCATTATTAAAACAAGATGCAAAAAGGCCTATATGTTCTCTGAAATTTCTGTCCAAGGGAGAACAGAATCATTAGATCTAGCACTATTAACCATGTGCCTCTCCTTCACCTACTTTCTATTCCTGTTTGGGTAAATGAGTCAGTCTGTAGCAGAGATAAACTTTATACTCTGAAGTTCTTTTTTGTTTCTTGCAGATTTTTTAGGCTTACAGAAGAACAAGTGAACAGTTAGGCAATTGTCCCATTTTCTTGGAGCCAATAGAAACATAACAAAATAGTGAAGTAACTGATTGTCTAAATCAGCAGTGAATTTTGTTATGTAAACCATATAAAAGACATCACCTTGTATTTTAAAAATTGTCCTAATGCTAAAATATACTCCACTGCCTTAAAGCAACTTTGTCCTGGTCAAGAATTTCGGCTAGAAATGTTAATTTCCTTCTAGCTGAAATTTTGACCCATGTGGATCTTAATCAGAAATAAAATTTATTGTCCATAAAATAATTTTGAAAATTTTAGCCTTGAACACTAGAATAAGAGAAGTTG